AAATGGACTTTTAAATTTTAACTCAAAAATTGAATTTTGGTAGCAAATAAAAGTGATCACAGATTTTAATCCTTTTGGCTGTAGCTCCTTTAGTTTAGCCAGAAAATGAACTTTTATGTTTTCACTCAAAAACTGAGTTTTTCTAGGAAATAAAAGTGATCACAGATTATCATCCTTTTGGCTGTAGCGCCTTTAGTTTAGCCAGAAAATGGACATTTATGTTTTCACTCAGAAACTGAGTTTTTCTAGGAAATAAAAGTGATCACAGATTATTATCCTTTTGGCTGTAGCGCCTTTAGTTTAGCCAGAAAATGGACTTTTAGGTTTTCACTCAAAAAATCGAATTTTGGCAGGAAATAAAAGTGATCACAGATTATCATCCTTTTGGCTGAAGCGGGTTTAGTTTAGCCAGAAAATGGACTTTTATGTTTTCACTCAAAAATCGAATCTTAGTAGAAAATAAAAGTGATCACAGATTATCATCCTTTTGGCTATAGCTCCTTTAGTTTAGCCAGAAAATGGACTTTTAGGTTTTCACTCAAAAAATCGAATTTTGGCAGGAAATAAAAGTGATCACATATTATCATCCTTTTGGCTGTAGCGGCTTTAGTTTAGCCAGAAAATGGACTTTTATGTTTTCACTCAAAAATCGAATTTTGGTAGGAAATAAAAGTGATCACAGATTATCATCCTTTTGGCTGTAGCTCCTTTAGTTTAGCCAGGAAATGGACTTTTATGTTTTCACTCAAAAAATCGAGAAGTGATCACAGATTATCATCCTTTTGGCTGTATCGCCTTTAGTTTAGCCAGAAAATGGACTTTTATGATTTCACTAATTGAATTTTGGTAGGAAATAAAAGTGATCACAGATTTTAATCCTTTTGGCTGTAGCGCCTTACTTTAGCCAGAAAATCGACTTTTATGTTTTCACTCAAAAAATTTTGGTAGAAAATAAAAGTGATCACAGATTTTAATCCTTTTGGCTGTAGCTCCTTTAGTTTAGCCAGAAAATTAACTTTTATGTTTTCACTCAAAAAATCGAATTTTTGTAGGAAATAAAAGTGATCACAGATTTTAATCCTTTTGGCTGTAGCTCCTTTAGTTTAGCCAGAAAATTAACTTTTATGTTTTCACTCAAAAATTGAAATTTTCTAGGAAATAAAAGTGATCACAGATTATCATCCTTTTGGCTGTAGCGCCTTTACTTTAGCCAGAAAATTAACTTTTATGTTTTCACTCAAAAAATTGAATTTTGGTAGGAAATAAAAGTGATCACAGATTTTAATCCTTTTGGCTGTAGCGCCTTACTTTAGCCAGAAAATCGACTTTTATGTTTTCACTCAAAAAATTTTGGTAGAAAATAAAAGTGATCACAGATTTTAATCCTTTTGGCTGTAGCGCCTTTAGTTTAGCCAGAAAATGGACTTTTATGTTTTCACTCAAAAAATCGAATTTTGGTAGGAAATAAAAGTGATCACAGATTTTAATCCTTTTGGCTGTAGCTCCTTTAGTTTAGCCAGAAAATGAACTTTTATGTTTTCACTCAAAAACTGAGTTTTTCTAGGAAATAAAAGTGATCACAGATTATCATCCTTTTGGCTGTAGCGCCTTTAGTTTAGCCAGAAAATGGACTTTTGTGTTTTCACTCAAAAAATTGAATTTTGGTAGGAAATAAAAGTGATCACAGATTATCATCCTTTTGGCTGTAGCGCCTTTAGTTTAGCCAGAAAATGGACTTTTATGATTTCACTAAAAAAATTGAATTTTGGTAGGAAATAAAATCCTTTTGGCTGTAGCGCCTTACTTTAGCCAGAAAATCGACTTTTATGTTTTCACTCAAAAAATTTTGGTAGAAAATAAAAGTGATCACAGATTTTAATCCTTTTGGCTGTAGCTCCTTTAGTATGTAGATAATAAAAGTGATCACAGATTATCATCGTTTTGGCTGTAGCACCTTTAGTTTAGCCAGAAAATGGACTTTTATGTTTTCATTCAAAAAAACGAATTTTGCCAGGAAATAAAAGTGATCACAGATTATCATCCTTTTGGCTGTAGCGGCTTTAGTTTAGCCAGAAAATGGACTTTTATGTTTTCACTCAAAAACTGAGTTTTGGTAGAAAATAAAAGTGATCACAGATTATCATCCTTTTGGCTGTAGCGGCTTTAGTTTAGCCAGAAAATGGACTTTTAGGTTTTCACTCAAAAAAACGAATTTTGCCAGGAAATAAAAGTGATCACAGATTATCATCCTTTTGGCTGTAGCGGCTTTAGTTTAGCCAGAAAATGGACTTTTATGTTTTCATTAAAAAAATCGATAAAAGTGATCACAGATTATTATCCTTTTGCCAGAAAATGGACTTTTATGTTTTCACTCAAAAACCGAATTTCGATAGGAAATAAAAGTGATCACAGATTTTAATCCTGTCCTTTAGTTTAGCCAGAAAAGGGACTTTTATGTTTTCACTCAAAAATCGAGTTTTAGTAGGAATTACAAGTGATCACAGATTATCATCCTTTTGGCTGTAGCGCCTTTAATTTAGCCAGAAAATGGACTTTTATGTTTTCATTCAAAAAATCGAATTTTGGTAGAAAATAAAAGTGATCAGATTATCATCCTTTTGGCTGTAGCGCCTTTAGTTTTGCCAGAAAATGGACTTTTAGGTTTTCACTAAAAAAGTCGAATTTTGGTAGGCGTGGCGCCTTTAAAACTGTTAAGTTTTCATTCTAAAAAGTGAATTCTAGGAAGTAAAAGTTGAAAATGTACTTTTAGCTTTTCTCTCAAAAAATCGGATAAAATATTTGTTAATTTCAATGACCAAGTATGTATGCATGACATACATTGTGTGTACTTACCAAATATGCAAAAATTTGATTTGGTTCATGTGCCAAGTGAATTTTAATCACAAACAATATTCCAGCTAATCCTTTAATAGTCGGCTCATTCATGCCTGCAGCATCCGTAGAGAAAGATGATGATGGTGATGATGTAACAAATGTTGTTTGATTCACAACTAATTTTTGATTTTTATTAGGAGTATACAGGTCAATGTTGAAATTTAAACTTGTATCATCACGGCACACCAAATTTAATCTATAGTTTTCATGAATTTGTTTAGGGGCTGGAAGCTTAATATTATTTTCTCCCTGGTTTGTAGCATTCGTTGATGCGCAATTGTCCAGACAAATTTTTAGAGGCTGTAAAAGTTTAATAAAATATGGGATAAGATTTAAAAATAACATTTGTTTTCCCATAAAAAATTATTCAAAGATTGTTTGATGGGTATATGAACCCTAAGTGACGTCATTTGAGATGTGGTCTCAATTAGAAAAAACATCTTAAAAAAACTAGTTAAAAAGAGTTCCCAAATGAGAATTGTAGTGCACTTCCACAAGGAGAGGAAATAATAACTTTGTATAGAAACGTTGGAGAACCCTGATCTAATTTTAAAATCAAATGGGATACATACGTAATATATAGTATTTAAAAATTCCTAAACAACCGCAAAACGAAAATAACTTTTCTGTATTCGAAACGCTGATAAAGTTGCAAAACATCACTTTAATACTTATATTTTTGTAGTATTTTTAAACGAGTAGACATAGTAAAATCAATGATTTCTAACAGTATTTCCTTCAGAATCATTTCAATACGTACCTACATCAGCATGTGATTTAAATTTAAACGGATGGAAATGAAAAATGAAAGTATTTCTGTTAGACAAACCGATAGGAAAACGTGCTAGTTTTAAATCCTCAACTTCCCACTTGTTTTATCATAATATGATACAATTATTATGATGTTTCCATCAATACATACATACATATGTAGTTCTAGTTCAGTTATAGTTCAGTTCTAGTTCAGTTCTAGTTCAGTTCTAGTTCATATCTAGTTCATATCTAGTTCAGTTCTAGTTCAGTCTACTTCAGTTCTACTTCAGTTCTAGTTCAGTTCTAGTTCAGTTCTAGTTCAGTTCTACTTCAGTTCTAGTTCAGTTCTAGTTCAGTTCTAGTTCAGTTCTAGTTCAGTTCTAGTTCAGTTCTAGTTCAGTTCTAGTTCAGTTCTAGTTCAGTTCTAGTTCAGTTCTAGTTCAGTTCTAGTTCAGTTCTAGTTCAGTTCTAGTTCAGTTCTAGTTCAGTTCTAGTTCAGTTCTAGTTCAGTTCTAGTTCAGTTCTAGTTCAGTTCTAGTTCAGTTCTAGTTCAGTTCTAGTTCAGTTCTAGTTCAGTTCTAGTTCAGTTCTAGTTCAGTTCTAGTTCAGTTCTAGTTCAGTTCTAGTTCAGTTCTAGTTCAGTTCTAGTTCAGTTCTAGTTCAGTTCTAGTTCAGTTCTAGTTCAGTTCTAGTTCAGTTAGTTCAGTTCTAGTTCAGTTCTAGTTCAGTTCTCAGTTCAGTTCAGTTCTAGTTCAGTTCTAGTTCAGTTCTAGTTCAGTTCTAGTTCAGTTCTAGTTCAGTTCTAGTTCAGTTCTAGTTCAGTTCCAGTTCAGTTCTAGTTCAGTTCTAGTTCAGTTCTAGTTCAGTTCCAGTTCAGTTCTAGTTCAGTTCCAGTTCAGTTCTAGTTCAGTTCTAGTTCAGTTCTAGTTCAGTTTAGTTCAGTTCTAGTTCAGTTCTAGTTCAGTTCTAGTTCAGTTCTAGTTCAGTTCTAGTTCAGTTCTAGTCAGTTCTAGTTCAGTTCTAGTTCAGTTCTAGTTCAGTTCTAGTTCAGTTCTAGTTCAGTTCTAGTTCAGTTCTAGTTCAGTTCTAGTTCAGTTCTAGTTCAGTTCTAGTTCAGTTCTAGTTCAGTTCTAGTTCAGTTCTAGTTCAGTTCTAGTTCAGTTCTAGTTCAGTTCTAGTTCAGTTCTAGTTCAGTTCTAGTTCAGTTCTAGTTCAGTTCTAGTTCAGTTCTAGTTCAGTTCTAGTTCAGTTCTAGTTCAGTTCTAGTTCAGTTCTAGTTCAGTTCTAGTTCAGTTCTAGTTCAGTTCTAGTTCAGTTCTAGTTCAGTTCTAGTTCAGTTCTAGTTCAGTTCTAGTTCAGTTCTAGTTCAGTCTAGTTCAGTTCTAGTTCAGTTCTAGTTCAGTTCTAGTCAGTTCTAGTTCAGTTCTAGTTCAGTTCTAGTTCAGTTCTAGTTCAGTTCTAGTTCAGTTCTAGTTCAGTTCTCAGTTCAGTTCAGTTAGTTCAGTTCTAGTTCAGTTCTAGTTCAGTTCTAGTTCAGTTCCAGTTCAGTTCTAGTTCAGTTCTAGTTCAGTTCTAGTTCAGTTCTAGTTCAGTTCTAGTTCAGTTCTAGTTCAGTTAGTCAGTTCTAGTTCAGTTCTAGTTCACTAGTTCAGTTCTAGTTCAGTTCTAGTTCAGTTCTAGTTCAGTTCTAGTTCAGTTCTAAGTCATGTTCAGTTCTAGTTCAGTTCTAGTTCAGTTCTAGTTCAGTTCTAGTTCAGTTCTAGTTCAGTTCTAGTTCAGTTCTAGTTCAGTTCTAGTTCAGTTCTAGTTCAGTCTAGTTCAGTTCTAGTTCAGTTCTAGTTCAGTTCTAGTTCAGTTCTAGTTCAGTTCTAGTTCAGTTCTAGTTCAGTTCTAGTTCAGTTCTAGTTCAGTTCTAGTTCAGTTCTAGTTCAGTTCTAGTTCAGTTCTAGTTCAGTTCTAGTTCAGTTCTAGTTCAGTTCTAGTTCAGTTCTAGTTCAGTTCTAGTTCAGTTCTAGTTCAGTTCTAGTTCAGTTCTAGTTCAGTTCTAGTTCAGTTCTAGTTCAGTTCTAGTTCAGTTCTAGTTCAGTTCTAGTTCAGTTCTAGTTCAGTTCTAGTTTAGTTCTAGTTCAGTTCTAGTTCAGTTCTAGTTCAGTTCTAGTTCAGTTCTAGTTCAGTTCTAGTTCAGTTCTAGTTCAGTTCTAGTTCAGTTCTAGTTCAGTTCTAGTTCAGTTCTAGTTCAGTTCTAGTTCAGTTCTAGTTCAATTCTAGTTCAATTAAATTAGCTTTAATAAAAGACCGTCTTTCTCATGTTTATGATCCGCTCTTCTTGTCTGGTTTAATCAATCCCGATTTGTACTTAATTCAAGTACAATCGTACTTAAATTTTTGAGTATATTTTCGAGCTTAATACAAGTACAATTAACTTAAATTTTTAAAACCAATTTTCATTCAATGTACATATGTGGTTAAAACTTGTTTGTGTTTTTTGAATACAGCTTAAATAGAAAGTAATTAATACTTACCGAATTTTCGCCAACATCCAGAGAGCTCTCTTGAAATTGCATCTCTATAGGTATAACATTTTCTCTTCGGCGTTCCAAACATTGTGCCACACAGACTTCCTGCGGCAGATACTCATAGTCAAAAGTTTGTAATTTTTTTGTTATATCACTTTTCGTTTGGTGAAAGGTCGGCAAACTCAAGTAAAATAATATTGATTGGGTATAATAATGCAGCAACATGGTGAGAAGAGAATTGTTGCAATAAAAATTACACTTTTCTAATGATGTTTAATAACAGCTGATGGGATTTTGTTGGAAGAGATGTTTTTTATGCTATATATTATTAGATAAAAACTTTAATAGCAGCTAGAAATGTTCATAACGGTTAAATAAATACGTTTTTTAGAATGCACTTTAACACTTATTTACAATTGGACATTGATTTAGTATAATTAAATTTCTTTAACTTTATATTATTTTTTTATTATTATTGTTATTTTTGCATTGCATTTTGTTTTGCAGTCGTTTTGTTGAAATATTAATTTTTAGAATAGGAATTGCATTATTTTAAGGTTATTTTAGTCTACACTTGTGGGTATGGAAATGGTTTCAGAAAAAGCACATAAGTAAAGGAGTTCATTTACTATATAATTTATGTAACAAACCACCAAGGAGGCCCGTCTGTTGCACTTTGTTTGACATTTTATTGGAATTTTATTTTTAACATTACACGTTTAGTTGTATAAATAAAATATTTCACTTTATTTGTATCGTAATTTTAATTAAACCAAAGTCTGGTATAAGTTTTTTCTATTATAATTATTTGATCCTTAGCTGGTCAAGAAACTATTGCTGTAGTATGCTGTTAACACTTTGAGGTTTCTTTTACTTTTGATTGGATTTCTTATCGTTTGCAAAGCAAATACTTTTTTCTCACTTTTGGTTCTTTCCCGTAGCTTGTAAATATTATTGTTGTATACAAAATTAGTTTTTTTGTTTCTTTTGTTTTATATTTTTATTGTGAGAGCCTTATTTAAATCGGTGTATATTGTCGAAGATCGTCATATCATATATTTATGTACATTTGTTTATTTCTTTTCTTTTTATTTGGCGACAAATAGACAGAAACAAAACAGCAAATAAGAAACTTTATTGGATTTAGTTCGACTATATGATGACCTACATATAGTACGATCGTTTCAAAATGGTGATCAGTGCGAGCATCGGACCATAGTCCATAATAGTTAAATAATTAGTTCGAAAGGAGGTTGTTTATACTTCATATCCGAAGAAATACACCTAAGCCGCTATCGGGCCTGTTGTGCGCACCTTTACCAGTGCCTCAGGTGGGAATCGAAAACCAGACTTGAACACTAACCACTAACCTACCGGAGGCCACAATCCCCATATTAAGTCTATTAATTTTCTTAACTTGCTTAAAATTGCCAACTAGTTCAGTTCTAGTTTAGTTCTAGTTCAATTCTAGCTTAGTTTGGTTCTAGTTTAGTTCTAGTTCAATTCTAGCTTAGTTTGGTTCTAGTTCAATTCTAGCTTAGTTTAGTTCTAGTTCATTTCTAGTTCACTTCTAGTTCAGTTCATTTTCAGTTGCAGTTCTATTTCTAGTTCAATTATAGATATTTCTAGTTCAGTTCTAGTTTAGTTCCAATTCAATTCTTGTTCAGTTCTAGTTCAGTTCTATTTCAGTTCTAGTTCAGTTCTAGTTCAGTTCTAGTTCAGTTCTAGTTCAGTTCTAGTTCAGTTCTAGTTCAGTTCTAGTTCAGTTCCAGTTCAGTTCTAGTTCAGTTCTAGTTCAGTTCTAGTTCAGTTCTAGTTCAGTTCTAGTTCAGTTCTAGTTCAGTTCTAGTTCAGTTCTAGTTCAGTTCTAGTTCAGTTCTAGTTTAGTTCTAGTTCAGTTCTACTTCAGTTCTAGTTCAGTTCTAGTTCAGTTCTAGTTCAGTTCTAGTTCTAGTTCAGTTCTAGTTCAGTTCTAGTTCAGTTCTAGTTCAGTTCTAGTTCAGTTCTAGTTCAGTTCTAGTTCAGTTCTAGTTCAGTTCTAGTTCAGTTCTAGTTCAGTTCTAGTTCAGTTTTAGTTCAGTTCTAGTTCAGTTCTAGTTCAATTCTAGTTCAGTTCTAGTTCAGTTCTAGTTCAATTCTAGTTCAGTTCTAGTTCTAGTTCAGTTCTAGTTCTTTACCAGTGGGGAATCGAACACACCACCTCCGGTCTACTAGACTAGAACACTAACCACTATCCTACCGGAGGCCACAATCCCCATATTAAGTCCATTAACTTTCATAAATGGCTTAAACTAGTCAATGAAATTCGATCCAAAGCCTTCAACCAAATTTGACTAGAATAGGCCCATAATTGGCCCAATATTGATTACTTTTACAGAAAATTAGTATTTTCTTAATAAATCGTTTCGAAATTATAATACTAAGATACAATTGTTTTATGAAATATATCACTGTTTCAAATTCTCTAGAATTCATTACGTAATTGACACGAGCTTTCAAAAAAGGGTCACGTTGGATAAACACCCTGATGCTTATAATTATATCTATATATGATAATACAACTGTATTACTTTCTTTGTTATAACTTGAGACCAATATTATTCCGGTTATAACATTCCTCATGAACACTGCTTGAAAAATTCTTAGGAAAGTCCAAGAAACTCCAATTTCTGACAATTTTTAATGATTCGCACATTTTTCGGGTTTAATAAAAACTGTACAGAAGCTAGATCCATTAAGTATAGGGCTAAAGATTTCCTCGCTAAAGAATCCTCTATCTTTAAGACCAATAACGAATCAAGCCAATTTCGGATACCCTGTTCTAGCAATAATCAGCAAAAATCGAAACAAATAGTATGCTTTCTAGTCATAAAATTTGACCTTTTCTTAGCTAAAAACTTTAATTGTTCCCAGATTCCTGGGAACAATTATATGACTCAACGACTGTCAGGGTATGTTTGACCAAAAATAGTAACATTTGTGCTTATGCATCGTTTGAATGTAAAAATGTTCCTTTTGCTAATGAAATTTTAAGAAACATTTCCTTGTTGCTTGTGTACAAGAAAACATCAAATGCTGAAATTCCAAACTTTTAATAAAAATAAGTTACATATTTTTATAACCTATATCAAACGAAATAATTTTTCCCAGAAATAGTTTTCAATATCTTTCCAAAAAGAAAAAAAATATTATGGGAATCATATCGTTATCCTACAATCTGTGTTTGTTTACATTTCTACTAAAAGTAGAAAAAGAAATATTTACACAAAAACACAACGAAATTACAATTAAATTTCCATTTAACTGAATGTTTTTTCGAAAACCTGAACAAATTTAAATAATAATTTTTAATATCACTAAAAATGGTTTTATTCTGAAGCAAAATATGAAAGTAACTAGAATTTAACAGAATCGGTGCTTATCGTATAAAGGTACAAATCGTTTAACTCAATATACAATACCCAACTACCATCGTAGGAGAAAAAAACAAATGACGACGGATAGCAGCACAAGAATTAATTCCAAAAATTTCGTAAAGGTAGCAAAACTAATTTGCAATTCATTTTATACTACTTCCTTCGTCGTGTAAACGAAAAAAAATAAAACACAAATATCAAAAACGGAAAAAAATTTAAAATTTAATGAAAACAGTGGAAAACAAACGAAAATAATAATATTGGGTGCAAACAAATTCGCATTAAATTAAAAAACAATGGAAATAAAGAATTCACTCATATAAAAATACATATGTTTGACAAATATTAGAGTTCAATTGATTGGGAATTGTTGGAAAATAAACATATTTGTTCACATGTTAATTTTCACGTTCATTTATTACAAGAACTGAACGAAAAGAATCGCATCATCGGTTTTTCGAAAAAATAAACACCGCTCTAAACTAATCTATAGTCTATGTATTGACTTCTCTATATAGTAGCCCATTGACTTCTCTATATAGTAGCCCATTGACTTATCTATGTATATACTAGCCCATTGACTACTCTATAAACTAGTCCATTGACTGCTCTATACACTAGACTAGTCCATTAAATACTCTATAGACTAGTCCATTGACTACTCTATAGAATAGTCCATAGACTACTCTATAGACTAGTCCATTTACCACTCTATAGACTAACCCATTGACTACTCTATAGACTAATCCATTGACTACACTATAAACTAGTCCACTGACTATTCTATAGACAAGTCCATTGACTATTCTATACACTAGACTAGTCCATTTACCACTCTATAGACTAATCCATTGACTACACTATAAACTAGTCCATTGACTACTCTATAGACTAGTCCATTGACTATTCTATAGACAAGTCCATTGACTACTCTTTAGACTACTCCATTGACTACTCTATAGACTAGTCCATAGACTACTCTATAGACTAGTTCATTGACTACTCTATAGACTAGTCCATTGACTACTCTATAGACTAATCCATTGACTAATCCATTGACTACTCTATAGACTAGTCCATTGACTACTCTTTAGACTAGTCCTTTGTCTATGGAATAGACATTGACTACTCTATAGACCAGTCCATAGACTACTTTATAGAATAACCCATTGACTACTCTATAGACTAGTCTATTGCCCACTCTATAGACTAGTCTATTGACTACTTTATGGACTAGTCCATTGATTACTCTATAGAATAGTCCATTGACTACTCTATAGACTATTCCATTGACTACTCTATAGACTAGTCCATTGATTACTCTATAGACTAATCCATTGACTAATCCATTGACTACTCTATAGACTAGTCCATTGACTACTCTTTAGACTAGTCCTTTGTCTATGGAATAGACATTGACTACTCTATAGACTAGTCCATAGACTACTTTATAGAATAACCCATTGACTACTCTATAGACTAGTCTATTGCCCACTCTATAGACTAGTCTATTGACTACTTTATGGACTAGTCCATTGATTACTCTATAGAATAGTCCATTGACTACTCTATAGAATAGTCTATAGATTAGTCCATTGACCGACCAATCTATAGACTAGTTCATTGACTATTCTATAGACTAGTACATAGATTACTCTATAAACTAGTCCATTGACTACTCTATAGACTTGTCCATTGTGTATGGAATAGACTAGATCATTGACTACTCTATAAACTAGTCCATTGACTACTCTATTGACAACTCTTTAGAGTAATCCATAGACTACTCTATAGACTGGTCTTTTGACTATTCTATACTCTACTCTATAATAGTCTATTGACTACTCTATACACTATTCTATTTGCTACAACCTAAAATATAATTGTAGTTGAATTCAATGTAACACGTTACACTTAATGTTACTATTTTGCCACTAAAAATATATTTTCCTTATGACATTGAACATAATCCTAATTTTACACTAATAGTCCATTTGGGATACTCAAACTAAACACATATCCTAATAAAAATTATTATTACAAAATTTATGTAAATTACAATTACTTTACACATACATACTCAATATTTTCGTAAACATTTTTAATTGAAATTTAATCCTTAAATTTACCTTACTAAAGGTAATTTTTTGAAAAATGTCTCTAATTAATTGATATTTAACTAATACCTAATAAACACACGAGTTAGCCATTTTGGAAAAATAAAAGAAAATATTAACAAATTTCGTTTTAACAGTAAAAGTATTTGTTATCATTTAAAAATGTTAAATGATGGTTGGGGTTGTTATTTCTTTCTAGAAATAAGTATATATTTTTACAGTTATTTTTGCATTTTACATACAACTTAAGCATAACATTTAAAATTATAACAATTTACCTTTTTAATACAAATAAACATAGATATTTTGTGATTAGGGGGAGAAAATCAAAATAAATATGTACCAAAAGGTAAACTAAGATTTCTGAAAATTCCTTTTAACATATTTTTTAATTTCAAGGATACATGAAATGGAAAAATAAAGTATGAAAAATTTAGATTGTACCACAATGTGTTTGTGTATCATTAAAAATTATTTACAAAATATAAAGTTGTTATCTTCGTC